CAATGAATTCGATTTGAAATACTTTCCAAGGCATTCAAGAGGTTTAATCTCCTGTGATCAAGTAGAGTTTTAGTAGGCGCAAAATAATGTTAGAACATCCAAGATGGGAACAAGGAAGCAATGTGACCATTTGCACGATAAACTAAAAAATTAGGGGATAATTTATAAAGATTAGTAAAAACATCAAACTTATCTAGGAGTAACTAGCAATAGTTTTGCTTTTAGTGACTCAGCCCAACTCATTCTCACTATATTAGTCTAGTACTCTGAATATGCACCTGTAAACATTGATCTGTCCATCTAACTTTTTCATCTAACATCCAGCATATACAAATAGGTTTTTATAATACCAGTAGATCATATACATGATATATATTCGCCATAGTTCCTTAAAGGCGATTAAGGGCTTATAGTTCAAGTTCCCGCAAGGATATGAGTAGAGTTTATGTTTCCATTAGATTTCACATAGCCTTACTTCCCAAATGATATTTGCATTCAGTGTGGAGTGCAATTTCGACCTCGCCTAAGTCTTATTAGCACCCCTAGCAGGACTCGAAACCTGGCAACGCAGAATATATTATCAATAACAAAAAATCAACTACCAGTCTTTCATCACCTTAAACGAAATATAATGAATATATCCCATATATATGATCTACAGGGAGTCTCGAAAACCAATTTATAAAGAAAAACTAAGCAATGTAATCAATTGCTATAGCAAATACTATCTGACCTAATCGAAAATCCTACCATATGTGATATGAAAAAAATCCTGGGATTTCTCGAAATTCACGTCTGTCCTATGACCCAAGGGCAATCTTGGCGAGTATACATTATACTACCAGAGCTGATGAGATCTAGGTGAGGTCGAAATTGCAGCCCATTTTAGAGTAGAATATATTTTGGGAAATGAGGCTGAATGAGCTCCAATGAGAACTTAAGGACTATTCACATCATTGTAGGAGAATTAAGCTTCCAGTCCCTCATCACCTTAAACGAAATGGAGTAAATGTATCTTCTACGTATTCGACTGAGATCAAATGTGCAGATTTTCCAACCAATGTCCTACTGGGTCACACAATCCGACTTGAAGTCCATATCCTCGTCAGTCGGATTCGAGCCTACCAGACTTCTCATTCTTACTCTAAATAGTCGAATGTCCGACATTATTCAAAAGCCGACCTTCAAAAGCATTAAGTGGAGGTAACTCCTGGCTGGATCACTATGTCCTTATGGAGCGCTTATAGGAGCATTTCTGCTCTCAAAGACCAAAAATGACTTTTCCAGGATCGGCCCTTAATCAGTGCCGTACCTCTATGCTGCTCCCTTCACATGACGGTACTACGCAGCACAGCCTCGGCTACTAGGCTCGTACACACCGAATCTCTCGCACTACCATCGCTTAGATATGTACTTCTCCCGAACATACATAGCCTCTTAGCTACATTAGTCCACCTTTTACTTCGTCATCTGACCTCAGTTCATCTACAATTCGTAAAGGAACAAAGGGTCGCAGCAAACTTATTAGCAAAGCTTGAGAAGTTGAACCCCGTGAAGTTAGAGTGCGCTCAGTTCACACGCGAACGTAGAGCACTTGATCCAACAGAGAACTTCATCACAACGTTAGAGGACATTGAGTAGCAGACAAGACACAAGCCAATGTTTTTATTAATTCCGTTATACAAAACTGTCCCTAATATAAACAGCAGTGACAACACCAGGAAAAATTTACCATGAGAATATGATCTGAAGGGAATTCGTCAGCATCTCTGCGCGGAAACAGGTTCGCGCAGATTAAATGATGAGTCCTGACATAAAGTTGTTCAAGGAATGACAATAGTTTCAAAAATACAATAAGCTTTCACGTAGTG